TAGAAAAGAAATTTGGGTATCCCAAAGTAGAAAGAACTTGAAGGTGAAAAAATGTATTGAAATGAAGAGGACCTCAATTAGGGCTTCTTTAATGTCAAATTAAAATTGCTATCAAGATAAAATACAGTGAATTTTTTTAGTGTAAAAAACTCCGTAATTGTCTTAAAAACATCTGCCCGTGAAAAATTAGTACATACACCTAAGTACGTTTCCCATCACTGGAAATGGCCTGCAATAGCACTACAAGATGCCAGAAGACACAAATGAAGAGATAAAAGTTTTGTGTGTGGGAAGGAGCCATACTGAAAAGAAAGACAACATACTGGCTTTAAAAAAAAAAACAAAACTGCACTACACCCAAACATTTGCTTGATGTGTTGAACGGGAATTTTACATCCTTTCCTCACCAAAGATGAAGAGCTTGTCTCCTTCAATTAATGAAACAATCCCCCCTACCTGTGCTGTAATGACTTTCCAAAAACCACAGATGGGGCATAAAATCAACTGAGCAGACTGATAGTATCGTTTCTTAATTTAAAACAGACTGGAATAGTAGGCAAATATAAATGACATCACAAATACTAAGAACAAGTGCTGTGCCATGAAGCCGTCTTTAACATAATGTGTGCAAAGGTCAAATTCACTTCGTACACAGGGTTCAGGTCCATACAGCTGGAGACACTGCTCTACACTCCACTGCTGTGGGCCTCTGCTGAGAACCCTCACTCACCAGACGCCGGCATCCATCTTCAATCTCTTCCCACCTTTCAGCTCTGCCCCATGAGCATGAGAATTACACTGAAGCCTCTCCTGAGTGTCTCCCCTTACGCTTTGGTAAATGAGAAAACGACAATCCAACCTCCTCACCTCCCCTGCAGTCCGACCTGGGCCTCAGCATCCCTCAAGTGCTTGGTTAAGGACCCTCTGAGGGCACTCCGGAGTCCTCTCCCTTAACAGCCCCTCAGTGGCAGCTGACATTCTTTACCTTCTAAAGTGCTCTTCTTTTGACTTGTTTCCCAAATTCTCTTTTTCCTCTTTGCCACTCAGTTTCCCTGGCCTCCTTTCCCTCTGAGCACCCTTAAATGTTATTTTTTGCAGGCACTCTTTCCACCCAGCAAGCGTGGCCTCTCAGCCACTAAATAGTCTCACTCACTGCCTCCCTGTGCTCAGGCTTCTCCTCCTTGTCCTGATCTCATTCCTAACATCCAGTCCCTGGTACCGTTTTTACATGGCTTACAAGGTCTCAAAACCTGGCACCTTCTGGGGTTGGGGAGTGTGGTTCAGTGTAGCGTGCTTGCCTACCATGCATGAGAACTCAATGAAAAATTTAGGTTTGGTTTAATAGCACATATATACTCAAGATTAACCCTCTTGTTGGGTTTAATTAAATGAAAGCATAGAAATCAGAGTAGGTTATTCAGCACTGGTGTGATGTCCACTCAATTACACACTATTTTCATTTTTCATCTAAGTTTCTCTCTTTTCTATAACCATTTCACAGCCACACCATAGCCTTTATTATTATTAATCATTTCCAGTGCCAAGAATGAAGAAGGTAGGGTTTAAAATCCAGGAAGAGGGCTGGAGATTTAGCTCAGTGGTTCTGGTGCCTGCCTCGAAAGCGCAAGTTCCCGAGTTCAATCCAATACCAAAAAAAAAAAAAAAAAAAAAAAAAATCATCATTTGTATTCCTTTCGGGCCAGGGATTTAGCTCAGTGGTTCTGCCACCTGCTTTGAAAGCTCAAGGTCCCAAGTTCGATCCCTGGTACCAAAAAAAAAAAATCCCGCATAAAATCCAGGAAGACTCCCTTCTTGTTTTAGGGGTTGAGTCACTGTTCACAAAAAGGCTTAAGTTAGTCACTATTACCTTTTCTCCTCACAAAAACATGACTTTAATACATGTAAACTTTTTGTTTTATTTTTAAAAGTTAACAAGTTTTAAAAGAACAATCTTTATATTCTTCTACTCTACCTAATATTACTTCTACTTGGCATATCAGACAAAGATACTTTTCATTGATGGATGAAACCAAAACTTTGCTCAAGCACTGAATAATTTTCAATTCAGCAGAAAATGCTCAGATACTAAGGATACTTCTCATTTGTATTAAGTATGACATTCAAAATGGTCACAAAAATTCAGACACTAAAATTTCTTAGCTAGTAAAATTTATACACATGGTAAAGACTAGTATGTATGTATGTATGTATGTATGTATGTATGTATGTATTTATTGTGCCAGGGATTGAACTTGGGACCTTCCACTTGCAAGGCAGGCAGTGGCACCACTGAGCTAAAGCCCCTGCCCTCTAGTTTTTATTTGAAAAAGCACATGAATGTGAACGAGTTTTGATACAAATGAGTTATAGATGTAACTTAAAAAATGAGACATTGTATGGTTAATGGAGAATGCCTAAAACAATCAGCACGTATTTTCTTTCTATAAAGCCCCCCCCCCCATACCGGGGGATCAAATTTAGGACCCTGTGCTTGCAAGGTAGGCACAGAGCCACTGAGCTACATCCCTGGCCCCTTTCTTTCTATAAATTCTTACATTAGAAAGCACAAGTCTCTGGTCTCCTCATTTGACAACTGATTGCAATTTGCACTCCCTCCCCAACCAAAAACAAAATCTAATTTTTCTCAATTACTACAGAAGTGTCCCTTCTCTAAAGATATGTTTTAAAATACTTCCTTTTCAATTTTATAAATATGTATTCTAATATTTATTGCTAGTAACATAAGGAATACTTCTTTGTGGTATTCAACGTGTTTAAAAGTTTTGGACTAATGCTAGTATCAAAGCATACAGGAGAAATCCTATTCATGTTTTCTTTTAAAGTTCATAAATTCCATTTTTAAAAAAAATAAAATATATCTGATCATTCTGAGCAGCACATTTCTCAGCATCTCTAAAATCAGGATGTGTCTAAAGCTGATCTCATGAGCTCACCATGCAGGGTGGCCTGTGGGTCACACAGCCAGCTGTTTGATGCTCTCCTTCCAGCCTTCCCAGAGTGCTTAGCATGGTCCCTCTGGCCTGTGTCCTCTCCTCTCACCACAGCCCGGGACCTGAAAGCCCTGGACTCCAAACAGAGTGCTTTTCAACCCAGCCAGAGTGCTGTGGGCTTCATTATTACAAAGTCTGGCTCTGAGTCCTAGATCGAGGCCTTCTATCCAATCTCAACCCCTTACCTGTGACCTCAATCTTATCAGTTTCCCAATACAGTACTGTCCTGCTTCACCAAGATAACCAATCCAGTAGGTACCAAGAATTCATTTTCTTCCCTCCCCTGCAGCACTGTCTTAAAGCCACCAGGCCATCCACACTGTTTTTCAACGATGATCTCCACTGCCTCCTCTTCTACACAGCTGCTGAAGACAGGCATCAAGGCCCACAGGAATTGCAAAATAGGAAGAAAAGGTCCAAAGGGGTAGGGGTAGTGGGAGGGGCAGGGGAAAGGAAAGAAGGGAAAGGAAAAATGATGAGAAATGGAAAAAATGGAAATAAAGTCTTTGTAAATAGGGAAGGGGGGAGGGGGTGAAGGGTGGGCTAGGAATGGGGAAAAAATAAGAACCAAGATGCATTATGTAAAGGTACAATTCCCAATAAGAAATGTAATTGTGTTATTTACCTACAATGTACCAATAAAAGAATTTAATAAAGTGAAAAAAAAATAAAGAATGCTCCTTCTACGAATCATTCACTCATGCACTCACGACTTCCTGGCCTGATTTAACCCAATGTTTTTAACTTTAAAATACATGTGCATTAGCACTGCTAGGAGTATCACAATGCGCACAAAGGAGAACACAGATCAAGGCCCACAGGCATCAAGGCCCACAGGCATCAAGGCCCACAGGCCCACACCAAGGCCAAAATCCTCTTATCTGTGTTCAGCCATTGCATTCTTGCAATCAGTGAAAGTACGGAGAGTGATTAAATGCCAGAGGGTCCTAAAGTTGGACTGCCTGGGTTCAAATCCCAGATCCATCTTTACAAACTTCTGACTTGACAAGTTAACCAACATCTGCTATCCTTATGTACATAAAGGGGATAATAAGTTCACAGGCTAGCAAACGAGATGATGCATCTAAAGCCTTGTTCCTAATAAATACACAATGAAGGTTACTTACCAGTCATAATTACAATATTTGTGCATGCATCATAAACTCCATGAAACTACATGCCTTTTCTAGGAACTTTCCTTCATAGACTGTCTTCTTGCCTCCTTTGACTGTCAGAATATTAATTCTTTTATGGGAAACCCAGGATCTAATCTTCCATGAAACCTTTACAGGTATAAGTGGTCATCAGCAATCCATAATTATACCGATAGTATACCTGTACTACATTTGGGTTTATCCATGTCCTCTCCTCATGTGTTACGTTGCCTAGAATTATCTTTTATATGGCTACATCTCAAGCCTACAATTAAATTGTGAGTTCCCCGAGGGAACTAACTGTTATACTTTTACAGCCCAGACAGCAGTCTACAAACATTAAGAGACACACATCAAATAAACTGAATTACTTAACTCTTAAGATAAACCATTTCTGTAGATTTAATTCTCAAAGCAGAAGTTAACTTCTAATAATAAATGAAATACCAGAAAAGAGTTTCCAAAGATCATCTCGAAAAGTTTCTTTTCCAGAATGAGGTGTTGAGGTTAGATTCTAAAGTGCTTTGCTAACTTGAATATACTTCATTCACGTTACAGTTAGAAAAAACCAGTAGATTCTACTTTTCCCTTCACAGAACACTGCAACACACTGTAAACGCCAAAAGCTGCAGAAACTCTCCAGAGAAACCATTCCCACCCTCCCAGGGCGCCCAACTCGCTGCGGGAGGCGCGGCACCCAGCACTTGGCTGTGCTCTGCGTCAAAGGGCTCCGGAGCGAGGTGCGCGGGGTCCGACAGCCCTGCCCGGCGCCCCATCGGCCATGCCTGCCCCGGACCCGGACTGCCTCGCGCCCGGGCGGCCCACGGGGTCTCACCGGCGAAGCGGATCTTCACGAGGTCCAGGGGATGCAGCGCTAGGTTGGACAGGACGCCGCCGCTCACGCCGGCCAGCAGGCTCTCGTAGCGGACATGGCGGAAGAGCGCGCTCCATGCGGGCGCGCCGGACGCCGCCTGGCCCTGGCCCTGGCCCTGACCCTGGCCCTGGCCCGTCATGGGCTCGGGACCCGCCGACACCACGGCGCCCAGCGCCGCCGAGGCGGGACGAGACGCTGTGGACGCCACTGTGGTGGCGGCCGCAGCCCCGGGACAGGACGCGGCAGGAGCCACTTCCGCGGCGGCCCAGAAGACCAGACGCCGGGGCCGAAAGCGCGGAAAGAGCCGGGCGCGGGAGGCGTGGGGGGCACGGCCGCGAGTCACGCCGCGTCCCCACCCCTCCTTGCCACACTGCGGCAGCGCGGGCGAAGGACCGCCCCCTGCTAACCCCCGGGGGCCGAGCTACGGAGCGCCGCGGGGGCCAGTCCCGCCGGCGGCTCTGCGCGGCGGAGTCACGTGACAGGAAGTCCTCTGTGAGAAGCGGAAGTCTACTGTGCGACGGGAGGCGGTGGGGGCGGTGCCGGACGGGAAACTGTACCTCGTGTCGTAGGGAAAAGCTGCCAAGATGAAGGTGAAGATGCTGAGCCGGAACCCGGACAACTATGTCCGTGAAACCAAGTTGGATTTACAGAGAGGTGAGACGTGTTGGCAGGAAAGGGCGCCTTCCGCGGGCCCCGGGGTCTGGCCTCAGCTTCCCCGAGCTCCAGGCCCGGAGGCTCGTGCTTCGGCGCCTGCCTTCCGGTTCTCTTTCCCCGGGCGACCTGGGGCCCAGGGCCTCTGGCGGAACCGGCAGCGGGTCACCGAGAATGCTTCTGCCTCCCGCTCCCGTCTGTTGCTCTCTGGGGGTCTCCAGGCTCTTGTTGGAAGTGGAGCTTGAATGAGGCAGATTCGTGAGTTAAAGAGTTAAGGATTAAACAGGATTCTTTAAACTTTCTTTACTCTTGCTTCACTACTTCAAATTCTCAATGTGGGACGAAGCAAAAGAAATTTAAAGCCATCAGTTTTCTCTTATCCACAACTCTTTAAGAGTGTGAGGGAAGAATGGGTAAAATGAAATGAATTTTATTTCTTCTTACCAGTCTGTTCGTTCCTGAACAAGCATACCGCTTAGGAATAATAGTTCGTGCGCCCTAAGTGACGGGCCAACCTTATGTGAACGACTATTCTAAGAGAAGAAAACAGGAGGTGCAGAGGCCTTGAGGCAGGAATGTATTCGGATTTAAATGAGGGGTAGGCAATAGAAGTTGAGACTGGAACTGAGTTTCTCTTGATGAGTAGCGATAACGAGCATTGTTGAGGCGTAAATGTATGGTGTTACCCCCAAGATATTTCCAGGGTAAGTAGCAAGACAGTGATATTTTTAAAATGCAGATTCGTCGCTTGGACTTGACAGCATCCCTAATCATTGAGCCTTTGGTCTCTTCCTCATCTCTACTTTCACCAGTCTCTAGTTTTCCCACGAGCAGCTATGTTCGGCCTTGCCAGTGTGAATGCATTTCAGGCATTTTCTTTTAGGGTTCCCATGCCACCCACACACCCTTACCCAGTTAGCTGCTGTATCTAGGAAACTTCTAGGTAAGCAGGGAGACAGTAGTCTTCCCATACTTATCCCCTGCACTGTGCCTCCTCCATCTCAGCGCCTCTCTTCTGTGCTCCCATCACGTATTTTAATAGTTCCATCAGAGTGTTTAATCACATTGACTCTTGATTATTTTGATTAACAGTCTTTCCCATGAGACTGAGCTTGCAAAAAGGGGAAGAATCGCCGGGGAAGTAGCTCAGCTGCACGGTGCCTGCCTGGCAATCGCGAGGTCCTGAATTCCATTCCCGGTACCCACCCCACCCCCCCAAAAAGAAAATGTGATCCTAAGACACATGCAAAAAAAGGGGTGGGATCATTTTTGTTTGTGTATGCACTGTGCTTATTCAATACCTGGCACATAGTTGCTTTATGGATGGAAGGATGTATGGATAGATGGGTAGATGACTGGATGGTCATAGAATCTCAATGTTAGGGTTCCGATCTTGTTATACTTTCTGATAGAAGTTTCAATAGATAGCAAAATGGAAAAATAAAAGTTTTAGAACTCTGTAAAACAAAGAGGACATTTGGTTTTTTTATTCTTCCATTTTATCTTAAGTGTTATTGTTAATTTTGTGTAGTGTTCAAATACTGGGATAAGCGTCAGGGCATCTTATGTTTTTAAAACTCCCTTGGTAGTTTTGATGTACCTGGTTAATGTATGAGAACACTTCACATAGATGTGTGCAATGAATTTATTAACTGTGATGCCCTCAGTGCTCGTGGTGTATGGCAGGTGCTCCTTCAATATTAGTTGAATGAATATTGTTAACTGGATGTATGAATTTAGAAGTAAAAGTAGGCATGGTCTCCTTATGATTTGAAAAACTGTAGAAGACTTAAGATTTGAACTGAATATTTTTAAGGGGTGCATAGGGTTTAAGATAGGTTAGGCTGGATATTGGAGTAAGTTCTTGGTGGAAGAGATGGTGTGGAAAGGGACTCAAGAGTAGGAAAATGCAAGACAGTTTACATAGACGTGAATAAACCTGCTCTGTTAGAGCTGAGTCAGAGAGGACTTGAAGCTGAAGAGCTGAGTTGGAGCCAGATGGTAAAAGACTAGAAAGGAGCTTCATTCCTGAATCAGAAGTCTCTAAGCTGAGTGTTTTGGGCTATTTCAGTTTGGAAGAAACAGTGAAAATTTCACTCTATATTTCTTACCTCAGAAACAATTCTTACTTGTTAGTATTGGGGAATATCAAAGATAGAATTCATAAAAATGACCCAAGTGTGGGCTTTATCACATGTTGGGTGTAATGTACCATTCACAAGGAGTCAGACAATAGAAGTAGCAGGAAAAAGTTGTGTGGTAAGAAGAAGCATTTACTTTTTTATACATTGATTTTTTTTTTTTTTTTAATACGTAGGTTTGGGGTTTTTTCCCTAAGCATTACCTGAGACACAATTGGGAGAACAGTTAAGGATATGGCTTGTGGAGCCACACTGCATTGGTTTGAATCCTGGTTCCATCCTTCATAGCCAAGTTGCTTAACCTCTTTGTATCTGTTTCCCCATCTGTAAAGTTGTATAGTAACAGAACCTAACCCAGAAGGTACTATAGAGATGAAAGGAGTTAATGTGAGGTGTTAGGAAAAGTGCCTGGAACCTGGAAAACTCTCGGTGTATTTTAAGGAAGGAAACAAACATGGAAAGTGCCCAATATATGGTAGTTAATATAACCTCAACATAATCACAGCATTGAGACCCTGTCAGTACATTATTTAGCACAAGAGGTTAAGTGTTGTTCACTGCTCCATGAGTAGCTTAGAGTTCAGTCGAGCCTGCAGTTGTCATGCCTTTGTTTTGGGCCAGGCACAGTGCTAGGCATGAAGAATACAAGTGAGTAATGTGTTGGATGTCCTGCCCATGAGAGGTTGCAGGTCAGTTGAAGAGTGTAGTAGGACACACAAAAGGAAAAGCTGTGTGTGGAAGTGTATGGTGAGATTATTTTGCAAAGTGTATGCATCCTGTGATTTTCTGCTCCTGTATTCTTTGTAGTGTTAGCCATAAAACTTTCTGATTGAATAACAAATTACTGTAAGTGATTAGCTAAGGATTTCTGCAGGAAAGAGTAAATGTGAATTATCTTGTTAAGAGAGATTATTCTTATTTCAGTTCCAAGAAACTATGATCCTACCTTACATCCTTTTGAGGTTCCACGAGAATATGTAAGAGCTTTGAATGCTACCAAGTTGGAGCGTGTATTTGCAAAGCCATTCCTTGCTTCCCTGGATGGGCACCGAGATGGAGTCAACTGCCTGGCAAAGCATCCCAAGAGCCTGGCTACAGTCCTTTCCGGGGCATGTGATGGAGAGGCAAGTGTCACCTTGCACCTTGGTACAGTACTTGAAAGCATTTTATATTGCAGACGTTTTTATTTTAATTTTATTTTGATTTTAGTTTAACTCTCAAAGCTAAATTCTATTTAAAAGAATGAAGTTAATAGTTCCTTATCTAACCCTAAGAAATTACAAATGTAGTAGCTTAATGCTTAATTTGACAGTAAATCAAATAATTATATTTATAATAAAGGTATTTAAGTGAGTTTTTTCACAGGATGTTATTAGTGATTCAACACTTAATTTCGCACTCTAGTAAGGAAAAAGGCTTTGAAATGCTTTCTCTTTTTTCTTTCTTCTTTTTTTTTTTTTGAGACAGGGTCTCACTGTGTAGCTCAGGCTGGCCTTGAACTCACTATGTACAGGGTCGCCTCTAACTTACGGTGATCCTCCTACCTCAGCCTCCCCAGTGCTAGGATTACAGGTGTGTACCACCATGTCCAGCTGAAATACTTTAAACTGGAATAAATGTAATATAGTACTTACAAAATTGAATTTCTTGCTTGTTGACATATTTATCTATATGTATTACATTATTTTAATTGAAAGGATTTCGCTTTTAGCTGCCTGGTAGAATGATTCATAGTCTTTTCAGTGTTGAATTTTTCTTCAAATGTAGTTAGTACTCCTGTATGTGAATATTTTACATTTATAGTTCACTGACATTTCTTGATATGCTTTATTATAGGTTAGAATTTGGAACCTGACTAAGCGAAAATGTATCCGTACAATACAAGCACATGAAGGTTTTGTACGAGGAATATGTACACGCTTTTGTGGGACATCTTTTTTTACCGTAAGTATAATGCTATTAAGTCATTAAGTCTTTTTAACATGTGTAAGAATAATCTAATTGAATAAACTGTTTTCAAGTTGTTTGTTCCAACACACTTTTGAAATGTCACAGAGCAAAAGAACTTACACCTTGAGAAGTTGTAATTTTGTTTATGAAACCCAGTTTTATTTTTTATTTTTTAATTTTTTGGTACTGGGGATCAAACTCGGGACCTTGTGCTTGCGAGGCAGGCACCAGAACCACTGAGCTAAATCCCCGACCCAAAACCCAGTTTTAGCTATACTTAATATCACTGAACTAATACTGTCCTGAACACTGAAGTGGGATTGATGGGAAGTAAGCCAGAGATTTGTAGCATGTGCTAGAATTTCCTTCTTTGAAAGGCTGCCTAGCATTGACAGTAGTGTGTTCCCCACATTCTGTTTATCTGTTCATTCATCGATGGACATTTTGGTTTGTTTCCACCTTTTGGCTCTTGTGAATAATGCTGCTATTACCATAGGTGCACAGATACAGTTCAAGGTAGGTTTTGACATGGGAACAGCAGATTTGGGGCTGTGCTCTGAGATGATTAATTTGACTGCAGCAAGTGATCAGTTTGGAGGCTGGTTTAATAATTTGAGTAGGCAAAAGCAAGACACTACCTTGGGAGTGAAAACAGTAGCAAGTAATGGTACGAATGAGGGACATTTTGGAGGACTGACAGGCTTGAGAACTGAGAGGTACCTAGGAAGGTGGTGGTTCCTGTTGCAGAACAGGGAAAGTCAGGAGTATGAATGCATTTGAGAGGGGAATGAGTGTGGCTGCTGAACGGACTGCCAGTGGGTCATTTGAGTGAAGATGTCTGTTAGCCCTTGATGGGTAGGTGTGGAGCCTAGGAGGGAAAGCAGAACTAACTTTGGCATCATCGACACAGAATTCGTAGTTGAAGCCCTGGTGTGGCATTGGTAGGGGAAAATGTAAAAGTACACAGATGGCAGGGAAGTTGTGTTGCACAATGCCTACCTGTAGGAAGTAAGCTCCGAGAGGAGCCAGGGAGCACGAAGATCCTACAGATATGGACAGGCTGGATGACACTGTACCATGTGTGGAAGGAATGGGGTGGTAGGTTGGAGTGGGCAGCAGCTAAGACTTTGCATTCTTCCAGTTGATTTTTCTGAAGATGTTGATTCATTTAATATCCCAACAAGACTACTAATTATATGTTGTTTTATTCCTCAAAATGAGTGAAGGCTGGTTTGAAGCATTATTTACAAATAACCAAGATAAAGAATCAGCCTGAATGTTCTTCAGCAGGTAAATGGAGAAAGAAAATGTGTACACGCACAATGGAAAACTAACCTTTAAAGAGAAAGAAACCATGTCTTTTGTAAGAGCATGGATGAACCTAGAGGATATTGTAGTAGGTGGAATAAGCCAAGCATAGAAGGAAAACACCACATAATTTCACTTATGTATAGTATGGAATCTGAAAATTTCAGACTCAAAAAAACAGAATAGGATGGTAGTTTCCAGGGGCTTTAGAGGAGGAAGAGTGGAAAAATGTTGATCAAAGGGTACAGAATTTCAGATAGGCAGAGTAAGCTGAGGGGGTTTATTATACAATGTGGTAAATATTGTTACTAACAATGTACTATATAGAAAATTGCTGAACAAGTTTTTAAATGAGATTTTAAATGCTGTCATCACAAAAAAGTTGAGGTAATTCATGTTAATTACCTTGATTTAGTAATTCCACAGTGTATGTGTTTATCAGAACATGTTCTACACTATAAATACAAATGATCTTGTCAATTGAAAAAATAAAAGCAACTAGACTAAAAACAGTGAATTTGTTTCATAGTCGCTCATTTCTCCCCCCTTTTCAGGTATTTATAAGTAGTGTTTTGTCATAGATAAGACACATGAAAAGTTGCTGGCATAATTTTAGCACTTGAGGTTTCAAAAAATGTTTATACAATGTCACAAAAAATAAACCTTTATTACCCAATTTTCATAGTATCTAAGATACCCCGATTTGTGGCACTAGCAGCACACCTGCCCGGAGAGGACACATTCTTCTGGCCACGCTCGTGTTCTTGTTTGTACAGACTGCTGTTAACCTCCCTCAGGGCTGATGGTCCTGCTGGGGCTTGTACTGGAAAGACTGGAGACACCTTAATCATTCACAGTCTTGAGCTTGCAGAGGCATTGGCAGCACTTTGATTGAGAGAGACTGTCTTAAGGGACAGAATGCTCAGGGACACTGTCTACCCTGTTTTTTGTGAGAGCTAACATAGCCCATTGGGTCAAGCCAGATAAGCCCAGCCCCTGGTATCTAGATTTTATCTTCTTGCCTCCCGGGAAAATCAGAAAAAATCAGAATTGAGTTTTAGAATAGTGTCAGTAGCTTAGATTCAGAGTTAAGTGTAGCCCTACTTGATATTTTTTGTCTGTTATAAAGAGGTTAATGATTCTCCTCATTAGCATCCCCATCCTGTCTGACTCTAGTACTGAAACCCCTCTAACCAGGGTTTTAGTCTTTTCTCATTGCACTGTGAAGTGTTTTGTAGGAAATGTTTCCCATTTTGAATTTGCCAAGGGACTAAATTCATATTCCTCTCATAGATAATGTCAGGTAAAAGGGCGGAAGACCAAGACCAGACCAGGCCACAACAAGCCTTTATTAGGGGAATAGATCTGCCAGGCTGTCTCTGAACAAAGGAGAGACAAAAGCAACATGGCCAGGGCAGGGAGAGTCTTTTATAGAGACAAGGGGTGGGGCTTGTAGGGGCTGAGGTGGGGTTGAGTGAGGTAGTGACTAGGGAATGGAGGAGCCGGTGATGTCACTAGATGGTAGGAGGTGAGGGAGTATTAGGTTACTCTCTAGGTGGGACCAGGGGCATGCTGGGAAGAAGGGTTTGTTCTTTGGTGGGAGTAACCATCTTGGCATGATGTCACACAGGGGAGGGGGCAAGGCACCATAGGAAGAGGGCAGCTACTATACATAATAGCTGCTGAGGTAGTGGGAGACCTATCAGATAAGTATACTATATGTTTACATTTTTATTAAAAAAGTCAATATAGGTTGCATATAATCTAGAAATGTAAACTTTAAGTTGAAGCTAATTGATAGTTGGAGCATCCCTGATCAAAAAGGCTGCAAGGGCCAGGGATTTAGCTCAGTGGTTCCGGCGCCTGCCTCACAAGCACAAGGTCCCAAGTTTGATCCCCGGTACCAAAAAAAAAGGCTGCAAAATACAAAACTTTCTTTTTCTTTTCTTTTTACTTTCTGAGCACTGGCATGATACCAAAAGTGAAAAAATTTCATGTCATGAAACTTTCATTTACAAAATTATTACAAATTTCCCATAAAATTACCTTCAGGTTTTGCATGTAAGTTGTATATGAAACAAATGAATTTGATGGTGAGACTTAAAATATTTCATTAGGTTTATGTCATTATTCCAAGATCTGAAACACTTGTGGTCCCAAGCAGTTTGGCTATGGGGTACTCAACTTGTTAACTCCAAGCCTTGCTATACTCTACACAGCTCTACATGTTTATTTTTACCTACTCACAAACATGTCTACCAAACACCCAGTGCTGAAGTCTAAGGACCATCATAGTTGTCTCACCTTGATTTGGGCCGAGGTGCCAGCAGTTCCTACCATTTCTTTTGTCACTGTCTGTGCAACTGGCTTTACTAACACTGTGAGGTGTTTTTGACCCTGTGGGCCCCAAAAAGTTCTCAGGGCTCTGCAGGGGCCCTTGAGTCCTGGGTGGTGCAGAAAAGGGCTGTGTTTACTCCAAGATTATAAAAATGCCTTCTCTGGTATTTTCATGTCTTCTGTCTTTTACATTTGAAACTATCTGGAATTTGATTATCATGTAAAATATCAAACTTCTTAAATGACTAACTGGATATTCCCGTACCATTTTGTTATACTCCACTTTTCTCCCAAATTTGAAATGCCGCCCTCATTACCATATACATTTTTGTATTATTTATGACCTAACTTTGCTTCTATTCTTGTTCTTTCTTTGCTGTACTTGTACATGCTATTTCATTTTTAATTGTATGTGCTTTATGCATTTGTCACAAGTCTTTGTCATAACAAGGTGGCATATAAATGCATCGATAAATATAATAATGGAAGGGTAGGATATACATTATCTTTTAAATCAAGCGGTTGGCAAGTACTCATTCATAACATTTATCATCATCATTGTGGTAACTCTCCAGGTTGGCGATGACAAAACCGTGAAGCAATGGAAGATGGACGGACCGGGCTACGGAGAAGAGGAGGAGCCACTGCACACAATATTAGGAAAGGTGCAAGAGTCCACTGGCTCATACTTTGCCTCTGCATATTCTTTTCTTTTTATGTTAATTCATGGTTACAATTTCCAAAAAGAACAAAAAACAAAAACGTGTAAATAAAAAATGATAGGCTTTATTCTGTAATAATGGACCTGTTTTAAACAGTATTTAATGCAGCTAAGGTCTTTCACTGCAGAAGAATTTGAGCTAGATCTTTAGTATTCAGTGGAGCAGGGTTTGGTTTCCATTTTTAGCTAGAGGCTGCAATGAAACATTTCTTGTAGGAAGGCCATGAGGAAAATCTACAGTGCAGAGGTTAGGAGAAATACGCTTCTGCCTCTGTCTGGTTTGCATAATCATAGATATTACACGAAGATCAGAATTTCTTACTTGAAGGAATCCTTTAGAAGATGAAGAAATGTACTAATACAGTACTTGCTGTGCAGATCTTATTTACGTTTTTAAAATTTTTGTGCAACTCAGATGATATGGTTTGGTTATGGCTTAAGTATAATTCAGACCATTTGGCCTCGCCATGTTTGATAATGTTACATTTTTTACATTAAGCAGACAAAATTCTAAAATTAGATTTAATTTTTAAATATGTGCATTTAAAAAATCACTTTGGTTCACGGTGTTACAGTTAATATGTAGGTATTTAAGTTCTGCTTCGGGTGTCAAGTAGTTCTAAATGTGCTTAAAGGGACATAGAAGTGGGGTGTGAGGGTAAGGTGGAGATAATTCCTGGGGGAAGCAAATTAGTAATTCCTAAAATGAGATTGGTTTCTCGTTCATATAGAATGTCTTCATTCTTTTTCATATTTCTTTCTCCTTTAAAGGTTTTAGAGAAGTTTCTTTGTGAACAGGGATTTCCTCAAAAAATAAAATAAAAATTGGAGTGTAGATAAATATGTTGAAAATATTACTCTGCGGAGTTGTGGTATAGGAGAGACCAGTGTGTGACGGCCTCTCTGCTTCTACAGACAGTGTACACAGGAATCGATCATCACTGGAAAGATCCTGCCTTTGCCACCTGTGGACAGCAAGTGGACATTTGGGATGAGCAGAGAACCAGCCCTATATGCTCCATGACCTGGGGCTTTGACAGTATAAATAGTGTTAAATTTAACCCCATTGAGGTAATTTTTTTAAAGTTCTGCTTATTGTTTCTTTATTTTATTTTATTTCATTTTTTGGTACCAGGGATCGAACTTGGGTCCTTGAGCTTTCAAGACAGGCGGTGAAACCACTGAGCTAAATCCCCGGCCCTATTGTTTCTTTATTGTTTAATACTTCAGCTCAGTTTAGGAAACTTTTAGATCCAGAGGTTAGGAGATAAAGGTATTTCGTGACTTTAATGGCTTTTTGGCGTTCGGTGAGTTTTCTAGCTTGCATCTGATTTTGTCAGATCTCAGTGTGGTTGCTTGAAGTTTAGTCCCAGACCCCAGTGTGAAGCATCCTTAGAGAAGGGATGTGTGTGTATTCATGAGGACAGAGTCTAGGCAACGCTTTTAGCATTTCACTTTTAGGAAAATGTTAGTTTTTCTTATCCCTCTTGAAGTCAGAAGGATCCTTGAGCATTGTTTTCTTTGTAACTCATAAGAGTACCAGTTCTACATAACAACATGCATGATCATTATTTGACTGCATGGTAATTAATTATATTTTTCTTTGCTCAGAAATCTGAGTTGTGATTCTTACTTCCTTCACGATTTAAGAGTTAGAGGTTGTCCACTACGTCTTAGCTGTTCAGGTGTGAATGCAGGAGCAGAGGCAGGCCTGCAGTCTGAGCTAGCCCTTGAACTCCAGACCTTTCTCTGAATCAGTTCCTTTTCCAGAAGATGCAGTAGAGACATGTTTTCCTTCAGAAAGAGAAGCAAATCACGACGTGGATAGGCTGACTTTGGAAGTTACTGGGAGGCACGATATCAGGTGGTAAAGAGAGCACCCTGATGTGCAGATACACTCTTCAGGAACTGGGCTGGTCAGGGGAGGGAAGATGAGGTGTTGTCAAGAAGGCAGACACTCCGAAGATCCCCTTCCTCCTGCTGGTGCCTGCCCACATATACACATGTGGGAGAGGCTGTGGGTCCAGAGCAGGGGCCCAAATGGTCTGTGAGTGGGGTGGCCACAGGTGGCCACCTGTTTGGGGAATTGCTTTACTGGAACCCAGCCATGCACTCTTGCTCACGCACTGTCAGTGGCTGCTTTGCAGTATAAAGGCAGGGTTCAGTGATCTCTAAAACCACTCAGCCCACGAAACTGGAAGTACTTACTCTCCAGCCTTTTCCAGAAGTAATGTGCTGATCCCTGGTGTGGAGAGCCAGTCTGTGCTGCATTTTCCTCCCTCCCTGTGTGCCGAGGTGTGGGAGTGAACTGTGGCCCGGAGGAGCAGGCAGGAGCCAGCTGCACACAGATGCTGGTAGGGAGCCATGTGTCCTGTGCACCAGGAGGCTCAGCTGAAACCAGTTTTTGCCTTTGCAAGGATTTCATCCAAGTCACAGCTCTTCACATTTGTTTCTTTGGTGTAAGATGAGATTAACTATACCTCTGCGTATACTTAGTAAGTCTGCATGAGTGTGTATTGATATATGGGAACATTTTAAAAATACATTCCTAAAATTCAAGTTGGTGATGTTATTACTATAAAAAACAAACTCAGGATTCTCCGGCCAAGGCACCCGCTTTAACCCCGACAGGCCGACAGTTGTCGCAGTTCCCCCAGCCTCGTATGGACGAAGGCCAGTGACTGAATGTCTACTTTCATAGAAGTCTAAAGTTAAATGAGAACTTGAGGGTCCAGCTTTGGAGAACCTTGTAGAAATCAGGCCTCACTGGAACCCTGAGAAGAGGGTGGACAACTACTTCTCAGGAACTCAGGAAACTCATGTGTCAAGCAAAGGTGACTCATAAATAAACCAAAAAAGTATGGCTGCACAGATACCAGAATCTGATCAGATAACACAGTTTAGGGAATTCCTGGGAACCTACAATAAACTTACAGAAACCTGCTTTTTGGACTGTGTTAAAGACTTCACAACAAGAGAAGTAACACCTGAAGAGATCACCTGTTCAGAACATTGCTTACAGAAATATTTAAAAATGATACAAAGAGTATCCATGAGATTTCAGGAATGCCATATTCAGCAGAATGAGGCCCTGGCAGCCAAAGTGGGACTTCTTGGCCAGCCCCGACAGAGAAGTCCCAGTGGCTAAGCTCTGGGTGGAGGCTGCCACAGCTGTTGCCCTGGGAAAGAGGACTCATCAGGTGGAATCCCGGGAAGTGGTGGGCACCATGTCGAGCCATCTGTCATGACTATTTGGCAAATGGAAACCACTGGAAAAACAAAATTGCTGCTCACCAGGAATAATCAAAATAGAGGATCTTATTGTTCAGTGAAAATAATAAGGTGCAGCATTAAGATAAGGTAGAGGCCTTAAGCTTCAGTAGCTTGGTAACTTAATTAGAAAAATAAGCCACTGTTTCTTCAACTGTGACTGTTAATTTTAAAGCAAAATATGTGTTCAATCATGTAAGAAAAATATTACTGAAAGTGAAATAAATGGGAATATCACTGGAAAAAAGAAACAAAAAACAAAAAACAAACTTGGATAATGATTCTTGAGAGACAGAATCTTTGTGGTACAGGGAATCAAACTCTGGACCTTGCACTTACAAGGCAGGCAACAGCACCACTGAGCTAAATCCCCAGCCTAAAATGTCTGTTAATTTCTTTTTTTTTTTTGGTACTGGGGATCAAACTCAGGACCTTAAAAAGTGTGACACTTGGGTCTTCTTTTTTGGTACCGAGGATTGAACTCAGGTCCTTGCGCTTGCACAGCAGTCAGCGAAACCATTGAGCTAAATCCCCGGCCCCCAGAATCTTTTGATTTTACTTCAATGATCATCTGTGTCAGAAGAGCTGATGGCCAGTTCTGAAATCATAATTTTTAGTCATGACCTAGTGAGCATGTTTTTCAGACTTGCTTGAATTAACAGTTCTGTTTGTTCAGCTGGGTGTGTGCGCGCATGCATGTGTGCGTTTTAATTAACCTTATGAAGTGACTGTAAAAGCAAATGGTGTGCAAGTGTGTCTTATCCATGTTAAACTGAATGGAAAGGGCATGTTGCTGTGAACACATGCAGTGTGTTTGTCTCCTCTGATCATTAATGATTAATTTTCCGCTAAAGCATTGAGGCCTAGAATCCCGGTAAAGCCAAACGTTTATGCTGAGCATTGCCCCATATTACAGTGTGAAAGTTGGCTTTCAGTTGAGGTGGAATGCTTGGTTTTGCTTGGATCGGGTCTTTGCTTTTAGCAGTGGAACTGGTCATCCCCTGAAGGGACTGAAGGAACAGCCAGTAAAGGGTTGGAGGGTCACTGGGACAGGGGTTTGGAGAGGCCTGCGAAGAGGTCTTGGCTGTGACATCCACTGAGCTGTGTGCACACAGCAGTGGGAGGAAGCCAGCCTGCAGCCCCTCAGTGACTTCCTACTCCTGCCGTCTCACAGTAGGAGTGACAGGAGGCAGAACCCAGGATCGTGGGCATCAGGAGCCATGAGAGGGGCACGGTACCACAGGTGGTCGAGGGCGTATTGTCACTTCATGCCGAGGGCTGTGTAGGTACCTCACACATCTGAAACAGACTTACAGCTGGGCAAATTGGCACACTCCTGTTTTCTCAAAGTGCTTGGAAAGCTGAGGCAGGAGGGTTGCAAGTTCAAGGCTAGCCTGGGGAGCATAGTGAGATCATGTTTCATAAAGGTATGGGACAATTATTACTGTGCTTTCACGGTATGCACTTAACTGGTGCTGTATGAAGACTGTTAACAGGGCCTGGGATTTAGCTCAGTGGTTTTCGCGCCTGCTGCGCAAGCACAAGGTACCAAAAAAAATCGATCCCCGGTACCAAAAAAAACAAAAACAAAAACAAAAGACTGTTAATATAGGCATTCTAAAATGTAAATTAAAGAATGGACCCAAAAGCTTCAGAGAGGATAGCAAAAAACATCTAGTGTGATTTGTTTGTTTTTAAATATCATACAACTTAAGCTGATTTAAAACAAAGACCTTAGACTAATTTTCAGTTTTCTTTCTTGAAATAAATTAATGGGTTGTTTGTGTAAAGCTTTTTTATTAAAAGTAAAATTGGCATAGTCTCACATTGTGGAGAATATCAGTACAACTCTTTGGAAAATAATTAGCCCTAAATATCAAAAGCCATAAAATTGTTTATATAATTTTTGATACATTTGAATTGCTCCTGAAATTTTATCTGAATGTAATTATTCAAAAGTAAAAGTTAAATTTGTGAAAATATTTACTGAATTGTCTATAATAATGAAAAACAGTAAACATCTGGTTTGAAGAAGGTAAGTAAAATGTTATTTTTAACTTAGAGCATAATATTACCTGTGCCTTATCACTGGCCTCTCAAATACCTGTGTGGGGATGTAGTAATAATAACAATACACAGAGGCTGGGGATTTAGCTCAGTGGTGCCGCTGCCTGTCTTGAAAGCGCAAGGTCCTGATTTTGAGCCCCAGTACCAAAAAAAAGAACCAAACATGGCCAGGTGTGGTGGTGCGTGCCTGTCATCCCAGCACTGGGGAGGCTGAGGCAGGAGGATTGCCGAGAGTTCGAAGCCAGCCTGGGCTACATAGTGAGTTCGGGGCCAGCCTGAACTACAAAGGGAGACCCTGCCTCAAAACACAAAACAAAAAAACCCTAAAAATACACAGGTTGCTGAGATCGTGAATCATTTATTTTACCCTCATAAAATGAGCTTTTTTGTTAGAACATGCTAAGTACAGGGATAATTAAATCTGTGGAATGGGCATGGTTTTCGGCCCTGCTGGCTTTTGACTGGTAATTGTTGCACTGTCTTGTTTCAGACTTTTCTCCTGGGAAGTTGTGCTTCTGACAGGAACATAGTCCTGTATGATATGAGGCAAGCTACGCCTCTGAAGAAGGTGAGCTTCACTTTTGTCTGTTTTATACAACTGGTGCTTTCCTCTGTAAATCAGTATTTTACAGAACTAATCTGCTTCAGAGATGGTAGTCATAGTTGGCATTCTCTCAGCTCCCCATTGCTTTTTAGAGACCCATGGATCTTTTTGTGTCTCCCATGATGCCAGTAAATTTTATAGAATTGAAAGTTCTGCAGTAGAAGATACTGTATCCTGTTACTTAATGGTGCAGTAATCCTTCAGGCCCTGTGTTATATGGCATGTCCAGTATTCTAATCCAGGATTTAGAAGTCATTCACATACTCAGCTTTATTACTTTGGTTACATGCTGATGAGTGGTGCTTTGATGTTTTGTTAAACAGGCATTATCTTGTTCAAAGTGACAGACTTCCTAACATTCTAGGATGGCCATTCTGTAACTCAGGCATCAAAACTTGTGCAGCTTTCAGCTGCCTCTCAAGAGGGAGAGAAACTCCTGTGCCACTGTAAGAAAGGGTGGAAGGTCCATTTCCAGTCCTGGGATTGTGAGGGCACCAGAAGGGCTGGATCATGTTTGTTTGCTGTGAGTCCTTCACCTAGTCCACATGTGAAAGAAATGCTTCCATAATTTTTCTTCCTAAGTAACTGTGTAACACATAGTAAACTTAGAAATTTTGAAAGTTATACATTTGTTGACATTTGAAATATATGAGTAGGATAATCTTTGTAGAGTCCTACTTTGGTCATTTTACTTATTCCCGTGTTATATTGGGAAGACCTTAAAGGTTAAGTGGGTAATTTGTGTTTCTCTGAAAAATGGTGGTATTAATTACTACCTTGCGTTAGATTGGTAAAAATAAAACAAGATACATTTAGCAAAATGCCATCCCAGCAAATTACCACTTTAATAAGTGGTCATTTCTCACCCCACCCTCCCATTCTCTGTTTTTCATGTTGCTCCATTATTTGGGGTCGGGAAAGATAACGTCCCTGGCTCTGGAGGGCCTCTAGAATCTGGTCCCAGTTTACGCTTGGTTATTCGTTTCAGTAAGGCAGCAGCAATCAGTTCAGGTTGTCACATGCAGAGGTTATTGCACACTGCTATTGTCTTTTTTTTTCTACTAGACTATCAGTTTTACTTCTATCTTTTTAAGTCCAGTTCTCCATTGGGGTGATTCTTTCCCATTAGGTGTAGTGTTGGGAATGTGAGAGGGGCTTCTGAGAGCTTCACACCCTACAGTAGGCCGACACGTACACCAGAACAGCTGTCCTTCCCAAAGTAGCAGCAGCACTGCATTGGGAACCACTGTGAATACCTGGCCATCATAGCTCAGCTCAAATCCTACTTGTCTTTTGAAACTCTTCGTCTGTACTTTCACACTAAGCTCATCCATCATTCATTTTGCCCCTAATTCAATACTTCGTTATTTATTGCTTTATTGTTTGTATTTTAACTTTTCTAAAGTATGTCTCATTTTTTTCTGGCTAAAATTCTCAGTTAAGTCCAGGGACTGGTAGTAACTCTTTCTCATATTTACCATTCTGCCTGTGTTATATTTAAGAAACAATTTTTGGTTTATCCTTTTTAATTGCTCTACGCACATACTAAGTGTTTACCAACTGTTTGCTTAAATGAGTGAACAAAGGTAAGAGAACAAAGTAGGAAACTATTTTAGAGGTAATTAGTGTCATGGTTATGAACTAACATATGCTTTCTTCTCCAGGTTATCTTAGATATGAGAACAAATACAATCTGTTGGAACCCTATGGAAGCTTTTATTTTTACTGCAGCAAATGAAGATTATAAGTAAGTTTTCTCTTTTAAAAACTTATATCTAAGGCAAACATAGTGGCACATGCCTGTGGTCCCAGCATTTGTGAAGCTGAGACAGAAGGACCACAAGTTTGAGTCCTCCCTAGGCAACTTAGTGAGACCTTGAATCAAAATAGAAAATTTTAAGAGGGGACAGCTGGGGTGTAGCTCAGTGAGAAGGCCCTGAGTTCTGTCTTTAGTAATTTTTTTTTAAATTATTTTTATCAGAAATGGTTTGTTTACATGTCTTATTGATAGATGTTTCATTAGGTGAGTGTACCTTCACGCACAAGTTAGAAAACTTATTTGTTAAAAAAAAAAAAAATCTCTTAATTTGGAGAAAAGCTCCTTAGAAAAGTATTTTCTCGTTTTTCAGAATGATGTAGACCAGGGACAGTAAACTGTAAATAATGAACTAAATCCTGCCTGCTGCCTTTTTTAATAGTTTTATTGGAATATATCTACCCACTTTTGTTTATAAATTAGATGTAGCCGTTTTTATGCCATGGTACCTGAGTTGAGTAATTCACCAGAGATCTTGTGTCAGTCAGCTTTCCATTGCTCTGACAGAATACCTGAGAATGGCAATTTAAGTAACAGAGGAAAAGTTTCTTTTGGCTCATGATTCAGAGGTGTCGGTCCATAGTTGGCTCCAGTGCTGTAGGCTGCATTTCCTGTAGCCAGGCAGAGGCACCGTGGGAGAAGGGCGTGGCTGAGGAAAGCTGCTCACCTCACGGCAGCCAGGAAAGAGACAGAGGGAGAAAGAGAGACTGCGCTGGAGGCCTTGCTCCTCCTGCTTTTCCTCATCTGGGCCTCTAACCTGGATGGTACCACCTGGTGGCACCACCCACCCACCCTGTTTGCTGTCCCGTGCCGGTCATCTTCCCTAGAAACACCTTAGCAGCACCCAGAAGTGTGCTTTACTGAAGTCTTAGGTGTTTCCCAGCCAAGTCAGGCTGATGAGATTGACCAGCACAGACCTTGTGGCCCACGTGACCAAAAATGTTTACTCTAGCCCTTCATAGAAGACATTGGGTGATCTCTGTGCAGGCCGTATAAACAATGGCTAAGTCCATATCTCGTTGTTGTTACTTTTTGTTTTTCTCATTGTGGTGGGGATGGCCCCAGCACACTTTTAGTTTTGAGAATAGAGTCTTGCTAAGTCACTAGATTGCCAGGCTAGCCACCTGCCCTCCTACACGGATGCTGAGTGCATTCATGGGAGTGCCACCTTTGTAAGCTCACTGCCTACCAGAAGCCCTGCCCTCACCTACCAGTGCACTGGGGATTCGATTTCAACATGGATTTCGAGAGGGCACGTAACGCCTTAGGGTTGCTTTGGAAGAGGCCTTGTCCGTTACTTTGCTGACCTTAGATTGGGCTTAGCAAACGTTTCCTTATTATTAGATTGAGATTATGTGTTTGGCAAGATACCACAAAATTGATGTGCTCTGTTCATTGTACCCTCTGGGGTAGTGGTGCTTGTGTTCAGTACTTTTACTACTGGTAGTGCTGACTGATTTTGCTTGTGTATCTGATACACTTCTTTGAGGAGATACTTTGAAACTATGTAGATAGCCTTTTTCTCCTCTAGTTTCACACCAAGTACTCTTAGTATCTCAAGTGTTTTGATTTTAGGAACTTGGTTGTAATAATGCTGTGTTTTTATATCTGTTGTCCCATTTTAACTAATTTGGAACACTTTTTTTAGCTGTTGATTAAGAATTTTAAGTTGTAAAACTCCGAGTCTATTGTTTTTACCAATTTTACGTAAAATATAATTTTCTAATTTGGTACACCTTTTAGAAATCTGTGCTTACTCTTAATGTATCATAGATAGAAGTATAAATACATTATTACAGCTTTGTTGGAAGTAATTTGGCAACTCAAGTTAGGCCTTACAATGCTCAAGCCTTTGGATCACAATCACTTGGAGGAATCTGTCCAAATTTAATTGAATCTGTCCCATTCAATTAGAAATTAAATATCAAAAACTCAATTGTCAGGATTTTAAGAATTATTTATAATAATAAACTTGTAAACTGTTTAAAAAATAGGGAACTGAATTGCTTTAACTCATTTAAGTATGTAGTCATTAAAATGTTTTCAGTGTTCAGTATTTGAGTAAGGCTTATAATATACTATGTGAAATATCACAGTACAAAGCTTTGTATAGTATTCTCAACTTTATTAAAAATATATATTTAAGGCAGTGAAAAGATTTTTTAAAAATTACATTGCATTAGCAGAATTTCTCTGGGTAGTGGAGTTAATTTTTATACTCTCCTTTTAAAAAATGTTTACATTTTCTACAATGAAATTTGCACTCGTAAGGAGGAAAGTGTTTGCATGAGTGTGCTCCACAGGAGAAACAGCGCGGCTGATACTTTTCTCTGACCTCCCTGACTGGGCATGGAGTTGAGCTGGGTGTGGCTGTGTAGAGTTAGCTCGTGGGCCTTCTTTTCACCAGGGTCTTTTAGTGCTGTGCGTGGCTTCTTTCTGGAGACTCGTGTCACATGTTCCAAACTCTGCAGCTTGTACACGTTTGACATGCGTGCTCTGGACACCCCCGTGATGGTGCACATGGATCACGTGTCTGCCGTGCTCGACGTGGACTACTGTCCCACGGGGAAGGAGTTTGTGTCTGCCAGTTTTGACAAATCCATCCGCATCTTTCCTGTGGACAAGAGTCGAAGCAGGTATGTGACCACACTAGGCCACTTCTGTTGTTTCTCTTCCCGATCATTGTTTGTCTTCTGAGGGGGCCACATCTATGTGAAGGGGCTCAGCCAGCTCCTGTGGCTTCAAGCGTCAGCGTCTGTCTAGTGTGTCACCCACCCATGTGCAAAGCATGAGCCTACATGGGGTTTCTCCCACTGAGCAGGACATCACCTTCATGTACTTTATTGGGATAAGAACTCAATTAGTGAATCTTTTTTTTTAATTTTAGAATTATTTTTAAGTGTTTTGTAGTAAACTTCCTAAAACATTTCAGTTTGATAATCTGATAAGTGTTGCATTAATGTACTTTGACCAAGTAATACCTTATATTTGTTATTTTGTATTTATTCCATTTCAGCACACATGAAAAAGGAGAAAAGGTAATTCAAATTGTCAAGCCCATGCTCCCCCCGTGGCTCTTTAGAGGGTCTGCACGCTGACGGGCCAGGAGGGGAGCAAGAGGCCCCGCTGTCCTGTGGTCTCCAGTGTCCCCCGAGAGCACACTGAGTGCGCGTCTGTCTGGTCGGTGTGGTCCACGCAGCTCAACTGCTGCATATTGTAGGCTACTGACTAGAGTACATATCGTCCTGGGTGTTACTTTTGTACATCACGCGGGGGTGATCGATAGGGTGCTGTGGCATTTAAGGGGTCTTCAAGGTAATTTAGTTCTTGACTTTTGCTCTGCTGGCTGCCTTTAAACCTAACTCCCACACAAGATGCAGCCCTGTGTGGGGCGCAGTGGTTCACAGAGCACTTTGCTCACGTTCTTAGGTGTGATCCTGGAAGCAAGCACAAACCAAATTCAAGAGTTTGTCCTATAAAAATGATGACAAAGGGTTATGGTGGTGTCATTCACACTGCAAGATACAGCCACTTCCACTCTAATCACCACATTTGAAAGATACAGGATAACGTGAATGAGTTTCTCTAAAGTACAGTGCATACACGTGCACCTGTGCATAATTCTGACTTGGGTGAGTGTCCTGATCTTGCTTAATAAAATTCTAATTAGTTAGAAAATGAACTTAGTGAAAGATAACAGTCTCTGGAGTAGCAGAAAAGGAAGGGGAGGAGGCGAAGAGCCAGGAGGAGAAGGGAGAGCTGTGCAGGGGCCGCTGGACGGGGTTGACACCCTGTCTGCGCTGTGCCCTGAAGGGTCTGCTGCCTTCAGGGCTCTGGTGCAGGAAGTGACTGCGAGCCATCATCCCTGGGTTCTGCAAACTTGCAAAGTTTGAGAAAAACTGAATTTATCAGCCTTGGCCCGCTCTGAAAGTAGTAGAAGAGTGACCCTTTCCTACCGTAACACGGAGCAGACACAGCCTAGGCAGAGAACAGTGTCAGAGGCGAGGACTGCGCTGGCCCCACAGCTGGGCCGGCCAGGTTACTCCAAGGCCAGCCCAGGCAGCCAGAAGTTCTGCTTGTGTTCTTCCAGAACGGTGTGCAGGGCTTCTCATACCCCATGCTGCAGCAGGTTTTCTCCTGGGTCATTTGGAGGTTTTGCAGTCACGGTCCTCCTATGTTACTGTGTTTACATAAAATGCTAGTCACGGCGACCTTTGCCTTCATTTACTGGAAAGCTGGTTCCGGTTTGTTTCCATGGCCTGTGCAGTTGCCTGTCATTACAGACATCATCTGACCCAGCTTGGGCAGCTCGTGGGTATTTGTATTGTTTAAGTGTTTTCCTTTAAAAGACCTTAAGTAGGTTATGGCATATGTTTAAAGGAGTTCTTAAAAACTATAGTTAAATCAGTACTTGGAAGTAGCTCTCCACTGGGATTTCATTAAATATTTACTAAGCAAACAACTAAAATCAGAAGCAGTCACTTGGAGAAAATAGTTTGACTGAAGAATTAAGGTTTTTTTGAATGAGTTTGTCTCTTAATTGTATAACTTTTAGTGAGCTTTATAAATCTGACATATGTATGAGCGAGAACTCCACATAGTTTACATTAGAGTTCTAAGGTGGCAGAATGACTGACCATTGGATTTGACTGGTCTGACCAAGCTATTTTTAATGTTGCTGAAGCCTGGTTAAATTTCTCCATTTAAACTCATATTGCAAAGGGGAGCCTCTTAAGAGGGCAGAGATTATATATGTTGGCTGGTTGGTTGGTTTTTGAGACAGGGTCTCGCAATGTAGCCCAGGCTGGCTTTGAACTTGCAGCAGTCCTCCTGCCTCAGCCTCCTGAATGCTGGGATTACAGGTGTGCAAAATCACACCTGGCTTCTAAGTCTTGTATCACCAGAACATTGAGGAGGATGAGATCTTTCTAACCATCCTCCCCTTTAAAAATGCGTTTCTTGGGGTTTTTCTTCGTACTTGCAACACACCACGGGGAAGGCAGTGGAAGTAAGCTTTAGAGCTCCTTCACGGAGTGGATCCTGTTTGATCACCTCTCTGGGTTTTCTTTTACTGTGGTGATCTTTTGGGCCGGTTTCCTTTCTCTCATGCAGCCTGCATTTTGAATTGTGTGATCCAGATTTGAAACATTTATTTCTGTGGAAATCTCATCTTGTTACTTTTTCTGACCTTATTTTACTTTGCTGTTTAGTGGGTTCGCAGCACTTCCCCAGGGTAGTATCTTCTGTGAATTCACTTAGCCAGTTTCGCAGTCCTCCCAGAGAGGCATGATGTTTGTCAGCTCCATTGTTAAATGATCCTTACCTCACTCAAACACTTTGGGAGCCCTCCGTTTTTTCACACATATAAATCAATTCTCACGTCAATTAATTCAATTAAGCCCCGCCCCCCAACAGCGCTGGATTTTTTTTTCCCAGCTCTCGGATTTTTTTTATTTTTGAGGCAGGGTGGGCTTGAATTTATGATCCTCCTGCCGCACCCTCCTAGAGTTCTGGGATAACAGGTGTGCTCCACCACACCTGCCTTCAGTGAAGCTTTTGAATCAACACACTCAAGCAAAAATCAGACATCAGATTTGCATGTCAGGATTTGCTTTTTGTGTTTATTTTATTTCCTTGTTTAAAAGGGAGGTGTGATTGTTGAGCTAAACTGAATTGGGGTGGTGAGGACTTATTAAGAGCAAGCTAGTTTTTCTGGTTACAAGGTAACCTAGCTAAAAATGATATTTTATTTGCATTGTATGCTTTCATTTATTTTGTGAAATTTTCTGTGCAACTGGTTTTGCTTATTTTACTTTCTTACTGGATTATAACTTTTCTTCAGACTGGAATTTGTTTTTAATTCTCTGGCACTTAGCTTAGAATCATACTAGTTGGGTTCAATAAAAATACCTTGAAGTTCAATAAAAATACCCTTGAATTTCTCTGGAGCTCAAACATGGTGCCCTGGTAGTTGAGAGACGAAGGGTAGAGCACACCTGTGCCACAGCCTCAGACTGGCCTCCCCTCCCCTCACTCCCCTCCCCACAGGGAAGTGTACCACACCAGGCGGATGCAGCATGTCATCTGCGTGTGCTGGACGGCCGACAGCAGGTACATCATGTGCGGCTCCGACGAGATGAACATCCGCCTGTGGAAGGCCCATGCCTCCGAGAAGCTGGGTGTGGTAAGGGCCCTGTTTTCTTTCCTTTTCATAAAGTGAAGCAAGTTTCTGATTTTATTGGATATCATTATTTTGTAAAGAGATCTGTCTGAAGTACAGATATCCGAATATTTTGATCAAATTGACAGCACTGGGACAAAATGCATTACTGACAGACAGACGAGGCCATATGGATGTGTTTCATGTCAGGACGCCCGCAATGCGCCTCTGTTCACTCAGGTGCTTGGTGGGATTTCGCCTCCCTGCATCTGGTTCCCATGAGGAAGAAGGAGGAGTTGGAGCAGCTTAGATCTGGTCCAGCGCTGCTTTTCTGTAGGAGTGGGCATTGCAAGGTACAGAGCTGCAGCTCCCTGCAAGGCTGGCTCAGTGCAGGTAGCGGAATCCTTCAGCTTGAACACACAGAAAAGGCTTCTGGGAAATACTAACATTGGCTACTGCTGCTACCTCTGGGCCCTGGAAGTATAGCTGATATATTATTTGTTGATGTTTTTCTAAATGCCCTACATTTTCTATGAGAAACATACAGAATGTTTGTATCAGGAAGAAATATCAAGAAAGAAAGGTTAAGTGTGAAGTATTTTCTACTTAGACCTGGTAGAAAAAAATCAAGACATAATGAGCAATAATTAAAAACAATTCTGTTTCCGGTTAATGATTGGTACGTATTGCACTGTAATTTGTATCATACTTGACATTTGTTAAACCTAGGTTTTATGGAATCAAATACTTTTTTCTGTTGCACAATTATTTTTACAAAAAAATGAGCTAGGAGTGTTTTGTGTTTCTTGCCTGCAGAAGGGCCGCCCTTTTGCCTCGGGTCTGTGCAGCCCTGCTCTGCCTGCCTTTGTGTTTGGTGGCCTCAGCCAGGGCTGTGGGGCTGGTCCCTGGCGGGACGGTTCAACACCTTGGAAACTGGCTGTCTGTACTACAAGTTTGGTTTCTCAAGAGCACAAGGGAAACGCCTAGCTTTGTCATAGGGAAGCAAAACAAAGACTGCACTCCTCGTTCAGATCAATGTACACCTTTTCAGCTGGCATCACGAGAGAGAGCCGCCCAGGATTATAACCGGAAGCTGAAGGAGAAGTTCCAGCACTATCCTCAAATCAGACGCATCGCGTGTCACCGGCACCTGCCCAAGTCCATCTACAGCCAGATCCAGGAGCAGCGCGTCATGCGGGAGGCGCGCCGGCGCAAGTACGTGCTGCTGTGGGCGTAGGGCTGTTGAGGCGCCAGGGTGCCGGCCGGAGCAGCTCTCCTTGCTGTGCGCAGAGGTGGAGCCGGCTTCCTGGACACTCCCTGGTAGGGAGGGCAGGGTCTCCTGAGGACGGGAGCGAATTCCCGTGCTCATTCCTGAGACTGTTTAAAGGACTGATGATGAAAATGAATTAGGGAAGTAAGAAAACATATTTAAAAACTGTTGCAAGTAGATAATTTTTAAAGTGATTTCTAATGTAGCTAGAATTGATAGGTAGTACTCATTTCTTAAGTAAATTTCTAAACGTATAGTTCATGATCACTTTTGAAATCTCATGTGTTCTTTTGTTTTGTTTTTGTACCGGGGATCAAACTCAAGACCTTGTGCTTTCGAGGCAGGCGGCAGCACTGAGCTAGATCCCAGGCCCTTATGCTCTGTTTTTTGAGACGGGGTTTGGCTCTGTTGCTTAGGCTGTCTCAAATCCAGTGATGCTTCTGTCTCAGCCTCCCAAGAAACTGGGACACAGGCACATGCCACTGCCCTGCTAGAGGGCTAACCCTTTGGATCTGAAGCAGACCCCCCTTCTCCAGTTCTCCTATGGAATATTCTCTTTGGAGCACTTGAATTAATGCAAAGTGTTACAGAAATTCTAAGACAAAGCTCCAGTTTTGTTTTTGTACTGTGATCAAACTTGGGACCTTGCGGTTTTGAGGCAGGTGGTGGCACCACCGAGCTAAATCCCTGGCCCCAAAGCTCCGTTTTTTAAAAAATGAACTGTTCTTTTGGTGACTTACTTTGCTGCCTTTGGGTAGGTGTTAGGGTTTAATCTTTCAGTAACTGTGACAGACTTTATAACCTAGTAAAGGAAAGTATTGGTAGTAGGATAGGAAGTGATTAAATGAGTAACCAAAGTTGATTTCTGTTCAGTTGCTACCTTTTACCTACTCCCATTATGAATATTTTGATGCTTTTTTTTGTTTTGTACCAAGGATCGAACTCGGGTCCTTGTGCTTGCGAGGCAGGTGGTGTAACCACTGAGCTAAATCCCCAGCCCTCCATTATGAATATTTTAAAGCGTTGTTTTCCTGTGGAAGGAATAAGGAATATTTTCTTTGGTTAAGATAATTTTTTATAATTTTCTTCATTTTCTTTTTATTTCTAGGGAACTGAATCGTCGTAAACACAGCAAGCCAGGGTCTGTGCCAGTTGTGTCAGAGAGGAAGAAACACGTACTGGCAGTTGTGAAATAACATTCGGTATTCCTACCGACCCTGATGTGTAACTGTTACCTTTGATTTGGGAACTCTGTATGTAAATAAAAGCACTGGCTCTAATTTAGCAGCTGTCTCGGTTAGGGGCTTTCTTCCCTCTCACCGCCTGATACTGATCTTTCCCTTTCAATCGCGGTGAGGCCGAACGCGGGCCTGGTCACACAGTTGTCAGGGAGCTGTCACTTTCTGCACCTCCTGAAAGCAGCACAGTGTGATGTTTGCCCAGCGTCTTGTCCAGGGTTTAGTGGTGCTGCCTTGAAGATAAGTGCCACCTGCTGCATTGCTGCTGCTGCCCTGGTTTCCATAGTGATGTCCTGGTGACTCGCACACTGCAGACCCTGCCTGGTTAGAGACACAAGCAGCCTCCTGTCATTTGGGCCTTTCCTAATCTAGAAATGGGACTGTGGTTTTGACCTTTCAAAATGTAACTTCATCAGCTCACAGTCTTGTGGAATCTAATGCACAGATGAGTTGGCAAGTGAGATTGTCAGGTAGGCCCTGAGGAGGGATGTAAGGATGGTGAGGCCTTGCAGTCATCCTCCGCGTAGGGACGCAAGGTGAAGCGGATCAGTGATGGCCCCTCAGGAGAGGGGTTGTATCGAATGCCTTGCTGTTGAGTGTCAGCACCACCCTGACGCTTCTCCTTGACGGAAACGAAGCCGGAGTGCTCTTCAGCCTGTTCATCCCCACTCGTCACCTTCTTTTTTTTTTTGGTACCGGGGATCGAACTTGGGACCTTACGCTTGTGAGACAGGTGCCAGAACCACTGAGCTAAATCCCCAGCCCTTCACCTTATTTTCAGTAAAAAAGAAGGGGAAAAACGTGAGGAACGACTTCAGGAAGTGCAGACTCCTTGTCTGCAGATTCCTGGTCAGTGTGGAAGTTTGAGCACTGGACCCAGGGCGGGTGGCCCCCAGAGAGCACTGGTGATCTGTTAGGGCTGACAGCCCACAGCAGAGAGCAGAGTGTTTGATGACGGAATTTCCTAGCAGTAGATCTGTGTTCTCCTTTGTGCGCATTGTGATACTCCTAGCAGTGCTAATGCGCATGTATTTTAAAGTAAAAATATTGGATTAAATCAGGGCAGGAAGTCGTGAGTGCATGAGTGAATGATTCCTAGAAGGAGCATTCTTTATTTTTTTTTCACTTTATTGAATTCTTTTATTGGTACATTGTAGGTATA